AGTATGGCATTAGGTCAACATAAACGGGAATGTTTTCTCGAATTTAATTTGAATGCTAAGACTAGGTTTGTTATGATCACCCATTAAATGATTTCGACCACTGAAATTACATCAAAAGGAATCTATTGTTATTGCATAATACCGGATAAAGTTTAATGATAGCGGATTTCTTTATTTGTAAGACTAATATAAGCTTTTTTAAAGACAAAGTCAAACTTAGGGAAAATAGTCCGAAAAATGTTAACAAGGATTTGATCTACAAATCTACAACTGATAATTTACACTGATGCTACGAGAATGGTTGGATTATATTGATGTTACTTGAAGTCTACAAAAAGTGACAATATGATTCTAAATCACTGACACAATAGTGAATTATTACGCACTAATTCTGGATGTTTTTAGTTGTGGATACAGTTCCAACAAGTCTTCCAAGAAGTTTAGTAAATGATCATTTATTAGTTTTGGGATGAAAAATTGGATATATAGAGGCCTAGCTGAACACGTTAGTGACTATACGGACTCAGTAACTTGGTCGATAATGTATCCATGTTTAATTGATAGGAATTACGTTCTGGACCTCAGTGTGAACAAAAACAATGGAATTCAGACACATTCAAATGACAAGTCCCAAATAAAACAAAACATACGTCCTGGATCCTACTGCCAGCTATGTACCATATATCCTAGTTGTTAAATTCAATACCTCTTCATAAACTTATGGGTTTTTCTGATGAGTATGGTAATTAAAACTTCGCCTGGAGCACCTCTGGGGTTACTGCCGGTCCCAAGTCCGGATAAAGGAGGAGGGTTGTGAATGGAGTTAGCGACCCCATCCCGTAGAAAAATAACTCGCTAAAAAACGCCAACCAGAAAAAATAATTTAAACCGCCTAAACTCTGTAATGGGAGTTAGAATGTCTTCATTTGGAAGAGTTATGATGTCTCATGATGAAAGCCAAGTTCCTTCGGAAGTTACGAGGTTGATACACCCATTCTGACAACCAGACACCATTGGTTTAGGTACATGGAATGTTCGTACAATGTGGAAGACCGGGAGAGTCATCCATGTCGCTGCAGAAATGAAAAGATACAACCTGGAGGTACTTCGAATCAGTAAAACACATTGGAAGAAGGTTGGACAACAAAACCTAGCTTCAGGAGAGCTGACGTTACACTCCGGTCATGAAGAAGAGAATGCTCCACATACACAAGGAGTTGCACTGATGCTATCCAACCAAGTACAAAAAGCACTTATAGGATGGGAATCTCATGAATCCAGGATCTTCAAAACCTCCTTCAAAACAAAGAAAGAGGGCATGACAATGAACATCATCCAATGCTATGGGCCTACTAACGACTACAATGCAGACGTTAAGGATCAATTCTGCGATCGGCTGCAGTCAATCGTTGAGAACTGCCCAGTAAAGGACTTGGGTATTCTGAATGGACAACACCGGATATGAAAACATCATGGGACATTATGGACTAGGAGAAAGGAACGAAAATTGTGAGAGATTTGCAAATCTATGTGGTCATAGGCCGCACCATATTCCTAAATAAATGCATACACAAAGCCACATGGATTTCACCGGATCACACTACACAGAATAAAAAGGACTATATTTACATCTTTAAAACAATTAGTCCCTTTGATAAATTTCGATAATGATATTAGAAGACGAAGATTATCAGAACTATGTGATATATTAGGGCAATACATTTCGAACAATCTGGTCACACATATACTTGTTAAGAGCATTTATATATAAAAATAAAAGGTCAACTAGACAGGAAACGGGGTAAGAGGAGATAAGGACAATGATAAGAGTAATAATAATAATAATAATAATAATAATAATAATAATAATAATAATAATAATAATAATAATAATAATAATAATGTGAACACAAAGCGAAACCTAATCACTCTGGATAATAAGTCAATATTACCAGGGTAGGTTTAAGGTAAGAACTGTTTTTGAACACATCAAGGGGGTTTGAATTTTCATATGGCTAAGGCTTCAATGAACCTTAGTATACGCCCTTTTACACTTTTATACAGCACTACAAAAGCTGAATTTAGATCAATCTTGTGACCTGTTTCAATCATATGTTTAGCAATAGAGGATGATGGATGTTTATCCTCTGCTCTTATTGGGTCACTTGATTGTATTTGTTTCTGAAGCCATTTGGGTACATGTTCACTCACATCATCAATAAAAAGTTCATGAGGTCAATGGAGAATGTGAGAACCAAGAGAGGAGCTGATATAGCTTGCTTGTCGCCAATATGAAACTGAAACTCAAGAAGCACTGAACAACGGGGCGGACAACATCATACAAGTTTAATACGGCCTTCCTTCGGGATACTGACAAAATCAACGAATTCAAAAATAGTCCTCAGCAATAGGTTTCATACCTTTCACGATCTACTCAATGGAAAGGGAACTCCTATGAAGACTAACTGGAAGGGGATCAATGATGCAATCACTTCAACATGTCATGTTCTGGGCCATAAAAAAGCACCATCACAAGGAATGGATCACTGTTGATACACTGTATAGGATTCAAGGAGGAACAAGAAGACAGCAATCGATACCAGCCGAATAAGAGCAGAGAAAGCCAACACACAATATGATTACTCAGAAGTAAACAAGCAAGTGAAGAGAAGCATCAGAACTGATAAAAGTAAATATGTGGAAGATTTAGCAATGATGGGGGGAAAGGCTGCAAGAGAAGGAAACATGAGACAACTGTATGACACAGGACAGTTGACAGACTCGTTCGAAGTGAAGACCGGTGTCAGGCAAGGTTGCTTACTCTCACCCTTTCTCTTTCTCCTGGTGATCGACTGGATTATGAAGACGTCAACATCTGGGAGAAGAATGAGATACAGTGGATAGCTAGGATGGAGCTGGATGATCAAGACTTCGCAGATGATCTGGCTCTTCTATTGCACACGCAACAACAAATGCAGGAGAAGACGACCAGTGTAGCAGTAGCCTCAGCAGCAGTAGGTCTCAACATACACAAAAGGAAAAGAAAGATTCTCCGATACAGCACTAGACGCATCAATCGAATCACACTTAAAGGAGATTTGGAAGATGTAAAAACCTTTACATATCTGGGCAGCATCATTGATGAGCATGGTGAGTGTGATGCAGATGTGAATGCACGGATCGGCAAAGCAAGAGCAGCATATTTACAACTGAAGAACATCTGGAACTCAAAACAACTGTCAACCAACATCAAGGTCAGGATTTTCAATACAAATGTCGAGACAGTTCTACTATATGGGACGGAAACTTGGAGAATTATGAAAGCCATCATCCAGAATATACAGGTGTTCATTAACAGCTGTCTACGCGAAATACTTCGGATCCGTTGGTCAGACACTGTGAGCAACAACCTACTATGGGAGAGAAGAAACCAGATCCCAGTGGAGGAAGAAATCAGGAAGAGTTGCTGGAAGTGGACATGACGCACATTGAGGAAAGCACCAAACTGCGTAACAAGGCAAGCCCTCACATGGAATCCTGAAGGTCAAAGAACACATTACGCTGAGAAATGGAGATAGACATGAGAAGAATGAACAACATTTGGATAAACCCAATAGACTACTTCCGGAATACAGGACATAAATCATATTCTATTTTGGACACATTAATAAGATAATAAAGGATTTATCTAAACTATGGAGACTAATTTTAAGTTGTCACTTATGGTTCCCAAGACTTTAAACAATGCGGCTTAAAACAAAGACTGGTAACTGCACTAATTGTCATTGACTTTGTAAAATTAATTTTAAGCGTTTATCTACTCCAGCAAAAAACCTATTTTTCGGGCAAGTGCTGTTAGTTCTTTGATCATGCACAGGACAGGAAGGATTAAAGGAATATATTCAACCACACATTCAGCGTTCTCTGTGTTTAAACATAAAATTGTCCAGTACTCATTTCATTATTTCCTAAGCTCCATACCGCTCTTAGTGTCTTCATTATCCATAGTTCATTTCTTTGCTTGATTCAGCGTAACTGGACTGACATAAAGGGCAGAAAATCAAACGGTTTATCCATCCCAATACTTATATGCTACTCCCACTCTTCATATGCAGTATTATAAATGATGTGGGTTGGTGAATACCTAGCTAGTCAACTATACGCATACACGGCCTTCGATCATCCACTTGCATCATCCAGTGTGTTCTGAGATCCGAACTGTCATCTTGTCTGGTTACCAACTGTTCTGCCTTCACCGTGCTTTTGATTAACTGAGACTCTTCTCTCCGTCTGATGACTGTGACATTTTCGACGCCACGTCCCGCTACATACTACTCACAAGCAATCTTGTGAGTAGCGTCCGCCACACTACGAGTAAATATTTACCTTGTCACTATTCCTCTACGTTAGGATTGATTAGATCATCAAAAACAGCTCGTAATAGCTGTACACCTAATCAACTTTTTAAAAGTACGAATTTAACTGCTTTTGTTAATTACCTGAAGATACAGAGGGAAGATTTTTATTCGTTGCAGTTGGTGTTAGAAGTGTTTGCCTATATTATTGACAACCATAAGTTTAGTACGAGTAGGCCATCTCTTGACTTTAATTTAACTATAAGAACCTTTAAGAGGAAAATAAACTGTTGAACAGTCACGGATAAATATTCTTTAAAGGTTTCTTATCACTACAGTTTAGCGATGTAGACCGAGAAAATCTACCACCAGTTGATACACATCCACTCAAATGACAAGTCTTCATAATCGTTCCATTTTCGACCAAACGTTGTGACAAATTAAATAATTACATAGTTCAGCCCTGTAATTATGTATTAAATATAAGTTTCGACCGTTTTGTGACTGATGAGATTATCCAGGATTATAGCAGTATGTATTAACTCAAAGCATTACACCATTACTACAAGTCCTACATGACTTACTTAGGAACTCAATATTTCACCGCATATAGCATAAAATAAAACACGTAATAAAAGTAGTATATACATACATAAGTACTGTATTATCAACAATCAAGAATATAGCTAATCCAGTTCTTTTGATAACAATTTCCTGTCTATGAAACTGTCTCACTATCTTGTTCTGTTTTGGAAGATTTCGCTAGATGAACACGCCAATACAATCCAGGTGTATCAGATCGACGAATTAAATAAGAATCTCGATCCAAATTTGGCTTTATAATTAATCCTTTTTTAGCTGACCATTCATATGGAGGATACATACGTGATTTCTCCTCGGAAGTCGGTTCAATAGGAACCTAAATTAGATAGGAAAAGATAAGAAATATACACAGACAATACAATCAGGTTGTTAGGTTGAGGTGGATAAATCAGAGTGATAAACTTTGTGAATTGTTTTTGGATACATTAGTATTCATATTTTGTAACATGCAATTTACTAATATTGAGTCTAATGGGTTTTCAAACTCCCAGAATTACAACTTTCCATTTGGTTTACTAATTTCAAATCTTTTTCTGTTCTCAAACTATTGTACACTAATTATAGGCCTAGCATTTTAATTTTGTGCCCCGAGCCCACTAGTTTAGTACATAATGCGACTTTTTATTTATGGTGCATTGTAACCTTACAATTCACCCAATTAATCATGTGAATGTATAGGCTACACATGTGGAGATTTTATCATTTGTCGCATTCCTACTTTCAGATTGGGGATCAGTAACAGGAATTTTTAACATGTCAACAGGTCTGGACATTAGGTTATTTAGTCGTAACATTACTATTATTCCTCATCTTTAACATTAATTACAAGATATTATCATGATTACAGTTGTTTTGATTGCATTAAAAATCTCTTGATTTGTTTATCTGCACCATTTAAACTTGTAATTTAGTTCGGTTTTCAATTTATTCTCTGAAGAAGCGATTTAAACTGAGTCCCGAAATGTAAGAAATTCAGTTTTCAACTCGTTGAAATATTACAAATATAAAGCCATTTTATCATGAATGAAGTTGAATTTAAAAGGCAAAATAATGCTGGGTTTAATTTCGAATAACATTTAGATACACAAACAGATATAGCATCAACATAGAGACTGGCACATATGTGGGTTGATTCAAGTTGTCACATCAGATTGGCACAATGATACGAAAATAATGAAGGAGATTGATAATGCAGTAGCAACTATAAAAAGAAACATTAAACCTTGAGAATATGACATAGAAAGACAGAGTCGAAAGGTATATGTGACGGGATACTGAGATTAAAAGTCGAGAGGACGATCAAGAGTGAGTGCGCCGGAGTATTTATGAACAATTTTGGTCAGCAACTCCAACAATTGATCAAGATTATAATGCGGACCCCAACCAAGTAGTCTGCATCGACCAACATGGCTGATTCTAATAGTTTGTGACTTCATGCACTGATGCCCCATTTTCGTTTAGCATCATTCCAACTTCTTTTGAACTATGAAGCATAGCTCGTTCGGGTGGGTTGTGTTTAGGCATACGCAACCTCAGTCAATGAAGATTTACAATAATATCAATCAATCTATCATCTTTGCCAAGTACTCCATGGCTAACATCAACGTCACTCAGTCGTTCCCCAAAACACAAGCAATGCTTCGAACACATCTATGACCAGAAACCTTAATTTAGAGACAAATAAAATGACCAGTTACTAAAAGTAAGGAAGTATGAAATTCAAACGAAACAATAACGCTAGAAGTACGTGCGTCAACACCATAAACTATTAAGAGCGAGAATGATCTGAAGATGACAGTAATAAATCCGGGATACGGTCAGTAAAATGAAAAATTTGTAAGTAGGCTAACAAATGGAATGTGGTTAATGAATGAATACGAATCAGTTGTAACAAAGCAAAGCCTCTATGTTTGCATCAGACCCTCCTTGTTCATCAATGATGCTGCCCAGGAAAGAGTTTAGTGGAGAATGCTGGTGGGCAGTCTACTCCACCACGAGGGGTAACAGGCGTAATAAAGCAGAATATAAGAACAAACAAAGTATATGAATTATGTTTCTCAGTCAAGTCGGTGAACTTAATGATTCTGCAAATTCTATATACCTTAGATTACTGATTAACGACTAGTTCTATTCCATTTATTAATTAACCTAAACACTTAAAATGGTGTGTAATTCATTACTATTACTATTCTTATCATTAGTATTACTGCAGATGTTGTTTAGTTAGTAGTTGTTGGTAAGTAAATCAGTCTGCTTCTACAGTCACTTTTTTTTTCTTGCGCCAACGTAGTAGTCTTGGCCTGTTGCAATGAGTAGCCGATAAAGGTATTTTGCGATTTTAGCAAATAGCCGTATCAACAGTAACAATCACTACTCAGTTACAAGTTTCCACACTAGCATATCAGTTTTGTTTAAAGACATTACAATAATACACAATACAGGTATTTTATTAACAAGGAAAGCAGGAGAAAGAATATTAAGGAGTAAAAAGTTGTAATCAAATAAATTTTCAGTGATAATTGTAGATGAAAATGTAGAAGACGGTTATATTTCTTTCAAAACATAGTTCACATACACATATATGAACGAATAATATTCTCTTCAATAAATTCTTTTCAGGCTCTACAATTATATATCCAAGTTAATAATCCTAAAAATGGTCAGGTTTAAGGTAAAATGCATCGTTTAAAAATTATAGTATGTGAATTTAAGACTAAAATAAAATCGTTCATTAAGATCATGAACCGATCAATGTTAGACCACCATTGAAAACCTGCAAGCACTGGATGGTCATTTCGTCCTAGTATGGGACATTTCAGAAGCACATGTCCACGACCCCGCACGCGGAATTCGAACCCAGGACCTTCGGTTTCGCACACGAACACTTAACCTCTAGACCACTGGTGGGTGAGCACTGCTTAGGAGTCTCATACTAGGACGAAACGGCGGTCCAGTGATCCCAGGTCTTCAATGGTGGTCTAACATTGATCGGTTCATGACCTCAATTAAAACTCAACAAACTCCACAACCCTACACTGAAATTCGATAATGTTGGAATAACTAATATGAAGAGTTAACTTGATAAAAGTTTATACGTTAAATGAAATTGTGAGATAAATAATGGTCAGAAAAATATGGTTAACGTGGGGTGAGATAGATAATAATGTAGTTGCAAATCAGAAATCAAGTAATATGTAGAATAATATCAATTAGGTACAAATTATTAAATAGTGGTGGATGCTGAATACATTTTTCGAAGGGTATGCAAGTGTTTTGACAATAATAATACCAATACCAATAATGACAATAATAATATGTGGAATTAAGTTTAAACTATGAAAATACAAAGAGGAGGGTTGTATGAACATTAATCAAATTATACCACCATATCGTCAAATGATCATTAACTGATTAGGTTAGGAGTTAGCCAAGATAAAGGGAGCGGTTGAACATATTTCTTCCTCCTTTTTGATCCCGATAGTTACTGCTTCAGGCGTCTGAAGGATTCACAGTTTAATGGATTTAGGCAGATTGCTGTCAACACGATACATTATTGTTAATGAGTGCTCCCGCTCGTACTAAACGAGCTAGAATCGAGTTGTTAATAGTTTTAACTATACCTTTGCTTAACCAAACTTGGAGGTGCTCGTGAGACTGAAAATACTGATTCCTGGATCACTTGCTAACATAAATTGTTCCACATGAGCAGTTGAATTGACAAACACAGAAGCAGGAGGCTAGTTTAGGTGATTTATCTTTCAATCTCGGAGTGATCATTGGATGTGGGGAAAACATTAATTGTAGTTTACCAGCATTAAGGATTCTTTTGATTGATTTATGCAACTTTAGTATTAGCATTTATCTGGATGCATCGCCTCTAAATTACAGAGTCTTGCTGACAGGCCTCCCTTATGCTCTTTTTTCATAGCTAAATGTTTATTTATAAATTTCTCCGGATATCCATTTCCTTTTAGAGTACGCAGTGTCTTCATTTCTTCTCCAACCGTATCTAAGGAGCAAATGGTCTGGACTCTGTAATGAAGTGTCTTAATTAGGTTCCTTTTATATTGTTAGAGAATAAAGCTAAGAAAAGTTGCCAGCCCAAAATGTTTTCTCGTTTAAGCTTCTTCTTAGTGACCCATCTGTTTCCCTTGTAAGTACGACATCAAGAAAGGCTATTCTACTTCCATTTACTTCCTCACAGGTAAATTTATTAGACGGATGAACTTCATTAAATCGCTTAAGTGTCTCTATCTGGTCAGTATGGTCATTAAAAAGGATACAAACTCATTAATATGCTGTAACAGTGGACCGTTTCCCAGTTTAGTGAGGAAAATGACAGCCAATATGGGGGCTAGTGGTGAACGCGTAGCGACACCATCTATTTGTTTATATATTTCACCACTGAATTGAAGTTTACGTTTATAGCATATTTTAGTAATAAATTCTTAATGATGTCCACAGGGATTGTAGTCTTCATTTCTTATTCTTTAAGTTGTTCACGTATATTTTTGACAATATCCTTGAGTGGGACGTAAACAATGTAAGCAATGATGTTACGTTTGGGGAGATAATCGTTTGTCCTTTAGTGTTTATGTTTCTGACCTTGATAATGGACTGGATTACATCCTTAACACTATGCTTCACTTGAAGTTTGTGGTCCAAAATTGGTCTCAACGGGATATCCGGTCTGAGCAACTTCGGTAGTCCGTATGGCCTTGGTAAATGGGAACCTATCGGCTTAATTGTTTCATATAAGTTTGAAGGGACTACCTGTTGATCACTAAACGTTTTTAAAAATCTTGTAAGTTCATTCTCTATCATATTATTGATATTTCCTCTTGGAATTTTAGATTATCAATCAAGATTTTATTCATCTTGTCAATGTAGTTTTTTTTGTTTGGTAGGACAACTCTTGTTCCTTTTTCAGGTTTCGTAATAATCAAATTTTTGTTATTAATAAGTTCATTAATAGCTCCCCCCGTGTTTTTTTTTACTTAAAGTGTATTTGCATTTGCATATATTGTTCTTAAACGGACAGCAGCAATCAACAACATTTGATTTGAAACATTCAAGTTGTTGATTTTATTTTATTATATATTACTAAAAATCCCAAATTCATATACATTAATTTTAAACGATCAATTTTGCCGAAAGCTGACCACTTACTGAATTATTAATTTGGATATACAACTGTAGAACCTAAAGAGAATTTATTGAAGAGAATATTCTTTTTACATAATTCAAAGTTTTCTTCACTCCAGTTATCGCTGTTTATAGATTTCTTCATGTCATTATTGAGACATTGAGAACGTA